GGGATGGAGGGGACCGTGGCGTGGGGTCCGGTGTGCTGCTGTAACTGGTGGTAATAATAAAAAAGGATGAAAAAAACAAAGGCTGTGTGGCTGGTTTAAAATTTAATAGGATTGGGGATGAGAGAGGCAAACGCTTTAATTAAACCCAACTAAAAAATGGGAAAAGCCTGCAACAGAGTGGGGCAAATACCCTGAGTTATTGTCAGCCTATAGCCACTGAAGTATTAACTATCACAGCATTTGGAAAGCAGTATTTATTTCAACTATATTTCTTTCACGCTTATATATAGGAAAGGAATAGACTTACAAAGAGCTCAGCCGAGAGAAACACAGGGATCTCACCATGTGAGGCTTTAAAGTACATGTCTGTGATAAATAGTCAGCAGCCGAATGATAAAACAGTTTAAATATTCTGGAGTTTGTGGAAAAAAAAATAAAATCTCAAATTACTAACAAGCTCCCATTGAAAATACATTATAGAAATTGCTTATAGTGTAGAAAATGGTCGGGCACTTTCCAATGCCCATAACTAATCAAAGGTAGAAAAAAACCCTTGCATATGCTTTTCAGTTTTAATATGACTTGCGTTTTATAACTTGCTTTTATTGTGCCAAAGGAGAATGTAAACAAAAATACCCAGCGACCGTCAAGGCAGCTATCAGAAATGTAGGTCTGTGTCTTGCAGAAATCTGTAATCCAAATTATTTTCACATTGCTAATGAGAATTGTGAATCTATTTTGAAAGTTTCTCTTGGCTACTTGTTTAATTCTTTCTTTCTTTCTTTCTTTTTAAATGTGTGTTGCTTTTTCTTTTTTCTCTGCAAATATTTTCTACTTTTCTCTTGAAATTTTAGCATTTTGAAATGGGGATTCTTTTACTTTACAAAACACATTTTGTATTTGCTTTAAGTCCCTGATTAAAATAAAATATTATTCATTTGCAGCGAATTCCCTCACATCAGTATATGTTGCCTCTGCTTGAAGATGAGGAGGGAAGGTAGGAACGTTGTTAACAGCAAATTTTGTTTTGGGACGTTCCAGTCTGTTTTTAAATGCGTGGTTTGGGCTCTCTGGGGCCGAGTCAGGTGAAAAGGAAGCAACAACAAAATGGCAGAGCAATTACTTAAAGAGGGGCTCATGGAGGAGGGTTGTCAGGTTTCTGTAGGGAACTCGGGCAGACGGTAAACTGATACGATCTCCCCCGCTGCAATAATCCAGCTTGTTTCACAAACACAAATTATGAACACTTCAAAATCCGTAACAGAAATTGGGTTTCAGAACTGTACAGTTTCTTTTGAAGGGGCTTCTCTGTTGAAAAGGCTCTTGTAATTTTATTTTAGTAGGCTTAAACTCTGGATTTGAGGAGATAAAACAACCTGTTCAGAATTATAATCATGTTATTTGGGCTCCTACATTTAAATTAATGCAACTGTTTCAGGTATTAGCATCCTGTTTTCAGGTTTGCAACTCAGCCTGAAAAAAATGGTTCAAGTTAAAAATAGGCACAGAATAGTTCAGATTTATTGTAGCTTTTTCTTAACAAATTTAAATTGTTTTAACTAATTTTAATTTTAGTTATGATTTTACAATAAAAATAAAGCTCTCAGGATTTACCTAGACTGGTATTTTCCTATTTTAAAAGGTTTGTGAATTGAAAGGGATCATGGCTGGTTGCTGTAATTTCATCTTATTTCTTCATTTGGTATTGAAAAAACAAAGGTGAACAAGGAAGTAAAAGGGACTGTTCCCAAGTATATTAATTATTATGGGGCAGTTTTGGGCTGAAAATCATGTGAATGTTCATATTTTTGTGCAGATGTGGGATTTCCCAAATGACAGGACAAACAACATCATGTGTCTTTTTTTTTTTTTATCTATCTGGTACAGAATCTTTTCTTTTATAAATTGATCCCTCATATCCAAAAGATGTCTTTATTTTTATGTTTTGCCAAACACATTTGTTTTTATCTTAGCGTGTGTTTTATACATGAATACTTATATGTAAGTGTAAAATACAGCTGTAACGATTGATTCCTAAATAATCTCACAGAGAAACACATCTGTCAATTCCAAATGCTGGTTTCTCGGTAATGCAGAATAAAACCAGATTTTAATGTAGCAGTCTCTCCTTCTGAAAATGATCAATCCAAGCAGCAGCCCCACAGCCAGAGGAGAGCCTGGGGAGGCCAGTGGGTGCCTGCATCCCATCCTGGGGTGCCCGGTGAGGGTGGCCTGTGGTGGTGGCTGTCACTCGCCCGTCCCGGGGACCGCCTCTTGGCTTTGACCTGACCCTTCCTATTATCTCCCTTCCATTTTACATTCGCTCTTGCTATAGATATTCCCATTCATAAAATCTTTTCCTGATTGCTTACAGTGTGAAGGCAAGTGCTGGTGTGGATCAGAAATAAATTAGATCACGAGCAGAAGCTATTCGTCAAACCCCTTATTTCCTGGAGTTCCTTCCCTGATCCCTGGTGCATGAATTCCATTATATTGCAAAATCTCTTTTTATTTAGTTTATACTTTCTTCTGGCCTTTATTAAACATCAGAGTATTTTCAGCGTGCTCAAATCCCATGTATTCAGGCAATCTTGCCCAGGAGGCTTCACCCTGTGAGAACTCACAGTTCTGGGCCGACTCTTGACTATTGTTTTTTATGACAATCCCAAAAAGCTGTTACAACGCGGCGTGTCATTTTCTGTCTGGTATCCAGAGTTCTCCCAGTGAACAGCACAGCAGCGGGGGATGTGGGGAGCTGCCTGCAGTTGCTGTAAGGCAGGCTGTCCCCTCGGCCGCAGCTGGAATGCCAGCAGGGCACAGTGGGAACGGCCGGCAAAGTCCCTGCAGGAAAATGGCTTCGTTGGCACCTGGCTTTGCCAGTGTGTCTCATGCAGGCTTCTTGCTGTGCTGCATCAGAGACAGGGAAAAATATTGTGACTCATTTTACATGGTGGAATGCAAGTAGTAATTCCTTCCCCCTGTTTGCTCCAATCCTGTTTCAAGAGGGCATGCACAGATTATTTTTGTTTGTTTGCTTAGTTTTTTTTTTTAATTAAAAAAAAAAAAAACCCTTATGCAGATTATTTTATTCTTTTAAATCTTGGTTCACAGTTAAAATATTTGGGAATATTTTTTGCTAATATTTCCTTTTTTTTTTTTTCCCTCTTGCTTTCTCTCTTTAACTCTCATTTCCCTTTTAGTCTGTTCACCGGATGGGTTGTGTTTTCTTTCCAAGCTGAAGCCATCGCCTGCCTATGCATCAGGAGGATAGGATTATATGTACTTCTTTCAGACCTGAGGCATTACTATTTCTTCCCCATACTCAGCATACAATTGTCTGGCTCTATCTGGGTCCTAAATCCATTCTGAATTGGTTTCATAGCTGGCAGATTTGTGTGTTCCATCTTGGTTTGGGACCTGGCTTTCATGCGAATACCTCAAATAATTTTATATTTTTCCAAGTAGAAGTTTTATTATATGCAGGCAATGTGTATATGACTAGTGAAAATGAGAAGATAAAGGGTTGATTGAAAACATGCCAAATGCGAGTTTTTGCCGGGGTGCAACAAACCCAGGTTTTATTGTGAAGGGAGCAGTGACAAACCCTCTTGTTTTGAATGGATGGTCTCGCGTTGCCCTCCGGTAGAGAAATGGTTAAATTATGCACTCGTTGGAGTATGAAGGCAGTTCTTCTTTGCTGACAGATAGTTTGACCAGTGTCAGGTTATCCTGACGCGTTCAGCATACCTTCATTGCATCATAAATAAAACAGACAAATTACTTTCTTTTTCCTGGGGTGGAATAAGCAGGAGGAAGGGGAGGGATAGAGATTGGGGTAGATGGGGGTTTGAGGGGGTGAAGAATTAGAAGGAAAAGAAAAAAGGGAGAGATCTTTGCAGACACTCTATGAATCTCTGCTTGGCAGCTGAGAACAATGAGAAAAGCAAGCAATTACCTCGAATCCTTCCCCTTATCCAGACATAGGAAATATATTCCTGCCTGAGCCTTTTTTCTCATCTCTCTCCCTCCCTCCCTTGCCCTCCCTCTCTCTCTCTTTGCCCCTCTCCCTCTCTCCTTCCCCTTGTATAGCTAATTTAATTCTTTGAGGCAAGGCAGATGTAACAAAGAAAGGAGGGTCTGTGTCGACGGCCCACTTCCTCCATGGCAAACGTCCTTTTCCATTCCCTGCCCTGGCAGACTTCTGCAACCTCTGAAGCAGCATCCACAAAAAATGAGTAGAAAGGTATTTTATAGCTCCAACTCTTTCACAGATTTCTCCCAAATAAAGTGGTGTGAATACTATATCACCCTGTCTGGGTGCAGGAAGCGGTGTGTCCTTTATCTTCAGAAATCCACCCCAGAGGGGCAAACAGAGCCCTTTCTCCATATTTCCCTCAACACTTGTATTCAATGACCTCTTTACTAGTGGCTTCTATATTCTCCTGGAATTCCTCTAGGATTTAAACTATTGTTCTTGAATCTTTTCTACCTTCTTTTTTCCAAAGTAACATTTGCAAATGTTTCCTTAGGTTGCCACGTCCATAACGAGGATGTCCCTGGATGTTTCCACTCTGGCTGTCACCACCTTTGCTCACTGTGTCACCTGAAGGAAAATGGGCATTGCTGTGGCCTGGTGCCCTGCACTACCTTCCGTGTAGGACCTGTGTCCACTCACTGTGCTGTGGGAACGATAGTTTGCATAAACATATTTTGACCCTTCAATTGCTGATAAACCTTTAGCTAGCAGGTTTGATTTTATTTCTGAGGGAATAAATGATACAGGTGTGCTTGCTGCTGATGGGATCGTTGCTCTTGTTGGTCAACCCTGATTCATGCACCAACAGCTGAAGGTGTGGAGCTACCCTGGGTCTGCAGCATGCTGGAGAGTTGAGTATAGTGCCCAGAATTGCCCCTGTGCACCCTGGCAGCAGGGCCCAGTGTGGCTGATGGGCTCAGCATCCAGCACAGCTGGAGCTGTGAGTGTTTCACTCTGTGGGGTACCCCCATAGGACCCCTCCACATGCTGTGTGCACCATATCTGCTCTGCAGGACTTTTTGGGTGCCGCAGGTGGTGCTGCCATGTGCAGCTCTCAGAGCTATCACTGACATTTCACAGCTCAGCCCCATGATGGTGTGTCCCAGATGTTGCCCTCCCCAGCCAGGGTGCAGGCAATTCATCCCCTGTCCCGCTGCACTGATTGGTCACAACACAGCCCCCTCGGGGGTACCAGGCACCAGCTCTGTCCCCAAAGCTGAAATATTTGCCAGCCTCCCATGAGCAGTCTGCCACCTGCACAGGACCATGGGTGCGAGCCCCCTGGTCAGCTGCCTCCCCCTTCCCACCCTGGGATTTGGCATTGGGCTTTCAGGAGAACATCCATGATTTTGTTTGTGCTCTGCTCTCTTACCCAGACCTTTTCCTTGCACTGTTTGCAGTCACCCCAACACCTGCTTATTGTGATTTAAAAGTGGACAAATTGTCTGTTTCCGTTGCCTTTGCTTTTAGAAGGAAACCGAAACCACTATTAGACTTTTAATAATTTAAGATAAAAATGCTGTTCCTTAAGAACGTTTTCTGGCTATATTTTTGCAGTCGGGGGATAGAAAGGAACATTACAGGAAATTTAAAGGAGGCTTTTGGTATTAAATCTTCACCTTTTCCAGAAGATAACGCAATTCCGTAAATCTGTGAGAGACCTTTGTTTAACCCACCCCCCGCTATCGCCGGCGAGGTTTTATAGGCGCCTGTCTTGGTGCCGCTCACAGGCTGTGTTTTACATAATACCCTTCAGCATCACTGATATTAACCTTGATGGCATTATTATTGCTATTTACAGCTCATATGCTGGTAATGGTAAACCTGAATGGGATTAATAAAATAAATTAAGTGATAGAAATATTAATGCTATTAACAATCAGTAACAATAGTTGACAGCATAAGAAAAGGAATAACCTGCCATTAACCAAGCAGGGTAAGGTATCTCTAGCACACGCATAAAGGTATCTGACACTTCATTTTGATAAACCCTAGATTAATTTTCTTTCAAGCAACAACTTTCCCAGCGCTTTCATGCTTCTCTGTTTCAAAACTGAGCTGTTGGCACGTTTCCCACGTCACCTTTCTGATGACCAACAGCCTGGTTCGCTGTAGGGCAGGCTCAGGGCAGGAGCTCTGTGATGAGGACAGAGCCCTTGGGCTCCAGCTGCTGCTGCTGCTGCTGGGTTTTGGTCCCACATAGATCCTGGGCTTCATGAAGCTGCTGCAACACATTCTCTGTGCTCCCAGTCTGCGTTTCCAGCCCCCCCCTAAAATTACAGCCTGCTTCTGGGTGCAGATTTCCAGCTGAAGGACTGACCAGTGGTGCATGACTGTTTCTGAACGTGCCATTCACATTTTCATGTATCCAGCTAAGGGATTCTGAGCCCTGGTGTAGGAGCTGTTCAACATCAGTTTGTGTTGATCTAATGTTGCATGGGTGGGCACTGCTGGGGACCTCTCCTCTCCATCCTTGCCACTGCAACACCAGCTTTGGAATGGGGGAAGGTGACTTTCTGATGAACTGTGAGGGAAGTGGTGACCTCTGGGCTTTTTAGGTGGGTCGCTGTGAGTTTTGCCAAAGCCTGTGAGAACAGAAATGCCAGTCTGTCTTCCTTTTCATTCCTTATGGGAAGCTTTTCCTATGCCAGAGTGCAGGTTTATCAGATGTGACCATGTTTCAGTGGGTTTCTGGACTAATGCACTGACTGACCTCATACACCACTGCTCATGGGTCAGACACCAAGGCTGCTGTGGGGATTATTTAAGCACACTGGAAAATTCCCTGCCTAATAAGGTGAGCGAAGGGTGGTAAGAAAAAAGCATTGCTAATTTTTTTTCCTCTTACAAATGCATCTTGCCAATCCTTTACAGCTGGCTAAAAGCTGGGATTTCTTGCACTAAGAAAGAAAGTGAGACCATAAATAAACCAGTGCAGGACACCTGGAAAGAATAAAGTGCCCTTCTCAATGTTGTAGGGGAGGAGGAATTGGTGTCTGCCTGGCTGGTACATGGAAATGGAGTGGGGAAAGAAGCCTCGCATCTGGGCCAGTGAGGAGATGCTCACAATAGTTTTCTTTCATAACATTTTCTCTGCTGAAACATATATTTTTAACATTACTGATAATAGTAAGTCTGGAATGGAGAGCCCTTGCTACTACTCCAACAGTGCCATCTTTGGTCAGAACAGAGGCTGAAATCTGTTTCTCAATATAAGCCCAAATTTCAATCCCCTCTGCTGAAGGCAGAAAATGGATCAGCTCCAAGGGCAGGGGATTCCCAGGAGCCCTGAAGGTCAATGGTGTTGCATGGTGTTGTGACAGTCTAGAGAACAGACTGTGCAACTCTTTTCTTTCACGTTTTAGATTAGCTTGTGTCCAGATTTCAAACGTGTCGGATTTTGGCTATGGTAAGGAAACCCCCTCTTTTAGTAACACACGTTCTCTTTGCTTTCTGGTGGGGAGAAAAAGGCCAAACCACCTGAAATATCCCTTAGACGACTCCTCTCAGTAGGAATTGGCTTCCCCTCAATTCTCAACCCTTTTTTTTAGAAGTGACTGAAGAGGAATAGTGGACTGTAATCTAGAGACATGAAATATCACCACAAAACTGCATTGTTTCACAGATGCACCTTATCTCTGATGCACTCCCTGCCACTCTTAGAACCTGATACTCTTTCCAAAGCGCTTCAGACCTGTCCATTCATTATCTACACAGGGAGCAGATAAATAAGTACACACGCTTTTCCTCAGACCCTGGAAAAGCTTCAACCTGACATCCAGAGGGGCCCTGTGCCAGCGATGCCCATCACTGCACGCCTTTGGTCCTTTGCTGTAGTGGGAGGTGACAACCGTGCCCCTGAGTTTCATTCATCTGCATGTTTGAGAGTGAGCCTGGGGCATCTGCTGCATTAAACAGACATTTCCCACCAAGATGTATTTAATGCTTCTCCATGCTGTCTCCATCTTTGCTGCTCCACTCTTGACTACCAAGGTATTTCCTCTGTGGTCCTCTGTCATCTGGTGCTGTCCCATTCCCTCCTGCATGCCAAGGTCTGTGTTTGGTGTCACCGTGTAGTGCCCTGATGCGGTGGCAGGATCCCAGCCACTGCCTTACGGAGAGGAATGGGAGAGATTGCTCTGGCTTGTTCTAAGGGAAGTCACTGGAGGCAGTTAGGCAAATTCAGCAAATACAGAAACCAATGTATGACCGTCTTTTGCAATAATGTGCTGATACACAGCTGGTGTATTTCAGTGCTGATTTAACACCAAAACGTTGACGTGGGAGCGCGTCTGGAGAGAGACAATTCCTCTGGCCCTGGAATTACTGAGTAGTCTTGTGATATTAAGAAAATTCCTGTTATTAAATTGATATTTGCCTTAATCATCCATTAGCCATTACTTAGCTCCATTAGCATTTGAGCCAATATTACAGTTTATTCGAGGAAGAATACTATTTTCTGTTTAGTTTGTTCTTGGTGAACTTAAAATGGCTGCACTGTGCTGTAAGATGGAGCCTCGCTTCTGTATAGACAGAAATGGAATTAGCAAACGTAAATTGTATTCAAAATAGCGGTTCCTGTTTTATCTCATTGTGTTTTGCCTTCCTCCTGGTACTCCTCTCCTTTCCTCATAAGCTGTCCCAGCCCCTTTTGACAGTGTAGCAAATAGTCATTACAGTGGAGATTTTTTTATCCACTGGTTTAACTTGCATATTTCTGCTTCTCTTGCAGTGAGGCTGCGAGGCTGCTAGTTAAAGTTACAGCACGACATTGGTTTTCCTACACGCTTTTACTCAGAAGGCTTATAAAATTGCCTGAGAGAATTCCGGCCAGGTAAAGACCTGCCTTAAGATGTGTAAACCTGGGAATCATTTTTTTTTTAATGTTACAGAAAAAAAAAAATTCAAAATACAATTTACTTTACTATTTTTAACTTGACATCATTCTGGCTGTGCGAGTTTCTAAGCACCTTCAGTTCCCATTTATTTTAGTGTTCACCATCTCCTAACAGCAATTCAACATCTGAAAGGTTTGGATCCAAAAGGGTTTTGTAAGAATAATGCCAGGCACGTGGGGGAGGGGGTCAAACGATCAAAGAGAGGGAGTTTAATATTGTTGCCTGAGCCTGGTTCGAGGCGCATGTTTTCTAAGCATGGCTTTTTTGTTGTTTTTTTTCCTTTCCTTTTACACTGACTCCAAGTCAGCCCTTTAGCAAGTCACTTAACCCCTAAATCTATTTTTCCATCTGAAACCAATAACACCATGGTGATAAGGAATCTGTAAGTACTAATTATTCTTCTTATTATTCATAATTTTACTCCAAGTGGGGCTGGCACTAGGTGTAATTGTTTTTATTACAGAATAATACTGGAAACAACCATTTATAAACCTCAGTAAATCTGTAGAAACATTTACTCTCAAAGTTTCATGAAGCTTTTTATGATTTCCACACATATTGTGGTTAACGTTTCCAATTAAGCTATCATACATACTGCATATATTATGTAATTATACTAGGCACAGAAGGAGCAACTTAGAAATTACAAGACAAGGGCACATACACAACAAAAATTTAATTAAAAATGTGAAAGGCAGAAGAGGCAGAGAGAAAAACAAATTTCAGGAAAGTAATAGTCTAGATTAAAAATTATTCAGCACCCTAACTCTAATGGGATACCATTTTAATATTCAGCATTCCATGCCAATATTGGATGTTTAAATCCTGAAATGTGAATTTCCATGCTTTTGTGACATTGACTCACGATCTTAACGTCCTTTTAATGTACTTTTTGTTGTGTAAATCTGTGTAAGTACCATCAGTCATCAAACTTGACATCTGATGGCGTGATGTAGACCCAGCCTGCATGTATTAGGGCTTTTTGTGTTTGTGCAGTGGAACCTACTTACACAAATTCCACTGAAGGCATAAACCTGTTAAAGCAATACATTTCCTTTACACTGAAACAATAGACTGCATCAAAGGAACATCCAGGGAGAGAATAAGTAATTTAAAAAGATAAATTTCTTTTCTGCAAAAAGGCAAAATGTACAGACAGCCTGACCCGCAGAAGAAATGATTCTGTTGACTTATCAAGGCAGTGTGCAAACCGAATTAGAATTTAGATGATCATTTAAAAATTATCAAACAAGAATCCAGGCAACACCTTGTGCTTTTAATGCACGGCTATGGTTTGAGGTGATTTAGAAAAAATTAAGGAAAATGTGAATGAGAACATTCCCAGCATCCTTAACGGTATTCTATTCCTACCCCCTGAACTTCAGATCAAGGCTAAAGCTTAACTTACAGACTTGGTCATAACAAGCAAGAAGCCACAAATAATATTTTTAAATGGTAATCCCAGTGCCACCATCAGGGTAGAGGCATCTTCCAGCCACTCAACTGAGAGGATGGGATGGGTGTCCATTCCCTAAAACCTCTGTCTCACCACATCCACCTGCAGCGTTAACGCTCCTCTCAGCTGTGGGGAAAGGGGAGTGAAGAAAAGGGGCTTAGGAGCAGGGTTTGCTTCTGGAAGGACAGGTATCATCTTGCTGCTCTTTATTTTAAAGGCGAGAAAGCTGATGTCCACACTGACTACGGAGAGGTCTCTGAAAAGTGCCAGGAAAAAGCCTCATAAAGTTCCTATCTCAGTATATTCTCCAAAATCTTCTTTCCAGTGGGGCAGAGGGGAATTGCACAATGCTCAGGGAAAAAGGGAGAGCCACTCAACACGCAACCTGGTCAAGGTCCTGCTGAAGACCAGAGGGGCCAATTGATGGACTTTGCTTTCTGGCACAGTGCTTGCAAGGATTCCCCAGCTAGCATCTATGCATGATGATACGCATATCTGGATGAAGACAGACATGCTGAGTCCATCACTGTGAGCACCAGGCGGAACATCCCATCACTGGACTTCTTCCAGGCTGGGTGTCTGGATGTCCGGCTGCCTCTCTGTCAGCAGACCCAAAGTCCTGCATTTCCCTGTGCAAGAATAACCTCTTCACAAACATGGGTGGCAGTGCAGCTATGACACACAGTGCCAAGCATGGGGCTTGCCCGAAGTGGCAAAGAGCTGTCTTGATGCCTTGCACCAATGAAAAAGTGGATTGCCTGCAGCTACAGCACGTACCAGGAGCTGAACCACTGTCCCTCTGGCCAATCCATTACCCCTATGGCACATTGAAGACATTCATACTCCCTTATGAATTTAAAGTATCTTATTTACCTACCTGACATACTTGAGCTCTAAGTATACTTTTATGGGTATCTGCTCTGCATTTGGCACTCCTAGCTGGAGTTTGGGCCAAATTCGGCCTGTGAGTAGATTCATTGCTGTCATTTGGATTTGTAGTGGCAGCATTTGCCCATTATTGTGTTATTTTAATTCCCTCAAGAATCTAATGAAAATTAAGTGAAAAAATAAGGCTTTCTTTATTCTATTTTCAGAATGATGGATTGATAGAAGGACGGGCAACTTATACTTGTAGGCTGAAGATTTTATGCATATATACATAACAGATATGGAGACAGAATTTTTCCCTTATGGCAATGGAATGGTTTTGATAGTCTTCATTAAAATAGATTTGAAAATACCATTTGTTTTATGTTTAAACCTTAAATTAAATTTTTCAATAATAAAGTATGCTTATTATAACCCAATTCTATCAATCACTGAAATGAACAGCACATTGGTGGGTTCAAGCAAGTAAATAAATAAATATGTTATTTTTATTGCATGTCAGGAAGGCTTCTTGGATAGAATTCTTCCCTCTGAACTGGTGGGTTAGAGGTTTAAGCATCGTATCAAAGATTTTACTAATGTCGAGTGCTGATCCTGCCTCTCAGTGCCTCGGACAGAGGGTGGCAGTTCAGGCAAAGTGTAAAAGCACGTCGTGCTCTGTCCAAGCCAGGGGTAGTGTTCCCCTGGTCCCTTTGAAGAGGTGCCAGCCAGGGCCTCAGTAAAGAGTACCTCTTTGTAGATGTGGTATTTTGAGGTATAAGTGATGTGTGATATTCTGCAAAGATAAGTTTTTTAGTTGTTGCTATAGATCTTCCAGCTGCTGCATTTGTCTGGGGTCACTGTGATAGTTAAACTGACCATTTTAATAAGTGTTTGGAGAGACCTTGAGTAAGAAAAGAGTTTTAGATAAAATTCAAAGAGGCCACATTCTTTGTTGGAAACAGGCATGGGTATGGAGGGCATCTTGCCCCTCGGTCAGTTCAGAGTTTTGCACTACAAAGACTTTGCAAAATTTTTCCTATGCGCAACTAAATAATTCCCTACAGAAGGCAGGACAGGTATCCTCTTAGCTGGACAGATACGGCTAGGTGAACCTGGAGTGAATCTTGAACATGTCTGAGAGGCATTTGAAAGCGTCTAGAGCTGCTTGAGTCGGGCTCTAAGCCTCCATGTCCCAGGCTTCTGTCTCCACTAGGTTCAGAGCAGCTCTAGGAAAGAGGCACAGCCACTGTTCTGCTGTTGTATTCCTGTGACTGATCACTGTACCAGGCACACGTCCTGTGTCCCTTCATGTCTCAGACGTGTATGGAGCACCGAACCCCCCAACCCCAGATGGCTGCTGATGCTGGGTGCAGACATGGGGTGAGCCGTGTTCCTTGGTTGTGTCCTGCACTCTGACACTTGCTCTGTGCACGTGGAATGTTGCCGACCATGCCCAGCTTAAGCTGCCTCTCCCAGTGGCACAGGACAGACAGACCCTTGCACAGAGCAGCTCTGCTGTAGCAGGCGTTAGCTGAGCTCAGTGGCTGGCGGGCAGATGGTGCAGGTCATGGGGCATAACTCTCATTAACTTGTAGCTGAAAGCCTGTGCTCTTGCATTCTGTAATATCATGGCCTGTGAACACTCTATAAAAGGAGACCCAAATGAATCATATTACAGTAGCCTGGAGAAGAGGTCACAAATCTTTTTGAAGAAGAGCCACTTCTGGCCACTGCTGAAACATGAACTTCCACATGTATCCTGTTATAAAAAATGAATTCCATGTTGGGAAACTTATTGACATGTTTGGGCATATAGCTCATAGACAGGGAGAGCTACTAACACCCCAATGACACCTTCCAGATGTTCTCCCCTCAACAATTACCTGTCTTATCCAGGCTGGCTTGCTGCTCCACAGACATCTCTGGGCAGGCAGGATGACAGCCGCTGAAGGCCACTGGCAGGTTTGGCAGAGGTGGGAATGTTCTAGCAGGCTGAATAAATTCTGAGTACTTTGTGTTATCCATCATTAACATGGCTAAAATGAAAGAGTGGGGACAGAGTTCAGAGGTAGCCTTTTGTTCAAACACAGAGATGTTGCCCCTCCAGGTTCTCCTGGAAAAAGCAGCATTTCCTGACCAGGTTTCTGTTCTTCCAGCCCATGCTGGTCACCATGTAGAGTGTGGATCTACACACAGATGTGTATACCAAGGCATGAACAACTTAGAGGTGGTGAGGTAGCAGATCATCAACTACCATGAGTGTCACAGAGAGAAAACCATCTGTGACACATCGAAGGCTGTTACCAAATTAATGGAAAGCATGACAAGGTGAGAGGCACTCCCCATGGGTTATTTTAGCAAAGCAGGTTGGTCCCAGTGCACAGTGGTTAATCCAGAATCCCTGTGGTCTCGTAAGGCTGTGAGGCTCCAGCCTGCAGCTTCCAGACCCTGCTCTCATCAGTGTCCAAGGGTCCGTTTCATCTCTCAGCCCACCCTGCTGTCACTTGAATGGGGCAGCAGTCAATGCAGCACTCAGGTACAAGCAGAAAGTTAAAAAAAACCCCAACATTTTCCCAAGAAGACAAAATAAAAGAAAAATGTTTTTCACCAAATAACAGGTGAAACATCTTTGCAAAGCTGTTTTGGGGTTGAAACATGAAGAGCAGAGCTTGCATGGGTCTTTTGTTTTACAGAATTTACAAAAGCACAGCGAGCAGCTGCAGCAAAGCCCACAGAAGGGATTGCTTGACCATGTGAACAGTGCTCAGGAAAAGGGGGTTACCAATTCAAACAAGAAATAACATAACGTCCGACCTGGGCTGGCAGTCTCTCACCCTCTCCTCACTTTTTGTCCCTTGGGAAGTAAAAAGAACTGAGAAGAACAGAACTTAGTTTTTAAGGAAAAAAAAACAAAGATAAAAGGAGGCAAAATTTAGATTGGCTGGACACCTTCAGAATGTAAGGCCAACGTTCCTCAAACATCGCATTTTTGGGGCACAAATGCAACACTCTTGAGATTACCATTAATTGTGTTTTGCTGTTTGTGACTTGAGGCTCATGATGTCATTTTGTCTTTATCTGTGAATGAACCTGGGTATAACATAATGTGAACATGACAAAGTGTGCTGGAATGCCAAAAGCTAAAGAGAAACATATGACTTCTGGGCTGAATACCTGCTTTGCCCTAGTATCTAAGAAGAAGAAAGTTGGGATGTGAAAACAGGGTGAACAGTAAGAAGAGAAAAAAATTTGGCACGTCTTTTGTTGAAATTCTATCCTCCCCCTCCCTCGTATGCCCAGAAACCATCTGCAAACTTTTCAATCATTTTTTAGGATACAGTGAATTTTATCATAATTTTGTCAACCAAAACCATATGTGCTTTTTCTATTGACAACATAGAATAACAAAATCATATTTGTTCAAACCACAAGGCAGGTAATAAATAACTGTGGACACACTGCTATGTTACAACTTAATGTGGTTTTCTTTTTTAAAGAAAAGTATTGAATATTACCAAAAAATTTAATTTGGGAGGTAAAGTAAACTTCTGAAGAGAAAACCATCTGAGAGAAAGCTTGTGGCTCAATAACTTTCCCCTTCCTGTTAGACCAATTCTAGCTCGCTGTCCTGAGGCCATAATAAAATGAGATCTTCCACTGCCTGCCTTCATCTGTGTGTGGTGTCGATGCAGATGCAAACTGCAGGTAACGGCTGCAGCATGTCCCTGCTGCACACACGTTCTGCACTCGGCCCCCCGAGCTCACACTGGACATTGCTCTGAGAAGCTCGGGTCCCTGAGGTTGAAAGATTAAATGTGAGTTGAAGTAATTCAGGACACGCTTCCTTGTAATACACCCACCAAGAAAAATCTTTCCTTACTGATATTAGACAAGCTAATCTTCTCAGGTGTGACCAGATATTGCCAGAACCATGCAAAAATCATCACTCTAGAGCATCGGAATTGTCCTGCTCTAGGTTCTTTGGTGACAAGTGACATTTGCTTATTATTTGGGTCTAAAAATGCAGAAATCTGGAACACAAGTAGGTGCCTAAAGCACTTTAGAGAAGTCAGCCTTTTTTTCTTTCCTTTTCTTCCCCGTGTCTGTGTGTGTGTGGATGGAGGAAGCCGTTGCAAACAGCAGTGGGCCCAGCTGCTATCACCAAAATTCCAGCGGGGAACATGGCATGGATATGTTAATGGCACTAATTAACCACTGTAAAAGGTTAATGAAGAAGCTGGTGGACTCTGTCTCAGGTTATCTATAACTTGGACAACTTTCCTGGTCAGTGCTTCAACAAGTCTTTGAGCTTAAAGGATGATTACACCAAGTATGGGTCAAGTGATTTACAGAAAAATATCTAAGAATCCATGTGTAGACAAACATATGGTTTTAATATGATTATATATATTGCATTAATAAACATGCAATTGTCATTGTGTTAACAGTGATAAACAAGCTTAGGTTTTTATAGCAATGCCTCATGAAGGTTGACCGGGGGTCTTGGTTGGATCTCTGCCACTTGACTTTGCACAACTGCTCTTTACCTGGGCGTTGAAGTGCATGCAGGAAAGCTTGTGCTCCACTGCAAAGTGCTCTGCAATCTGACAATGAAAAGATACAGGTAAAATTCCCTGTCGGAAAGGTTACTGCATTCTCCTGGCTGTATCCATTTTAATACAGTACTTCCTCACATGCCTTCATTAGCCACAGTGTTTGACTCTGCCATATTGTTTTCATTTTTTTCTTCTACATAAGAATGAGACAAACAGAAAGACATAAACCTTGGTCTGAAAAATTTACTTTTAAAACTATGCTTATTTATTATAATAATACCCCGAGACTTCAGCCGAGATGTGGCCCTGGGGTGTTGTGATCAAGCAGGAATACAGAAAGTTCCCCTTGAAACCTTCTGGGTCTGAACAGCACAAAGCAAAAGTGGGGAAATTCTATAAAGGAAAAGAGGGGAAGTTCTATAATTTTTCAGCAAAGATAATGATAAAATAATTAACAGACTTTGCACGTCTTTAAAACCCTCCTGCTAAGTTCTTGATGATCTTAACAAATAATCAATTAAAGCCTTCTGAGATTAGTGAGCATTATTATCCCTGGTTTATGGATTAGGTGACTGAGGTACAAAGGGATTAAATTCTCAGCCCTGTACCTCCCACCTGGGGCAGCCTCCTCCTGCCCCGAGCCCTTGTACACTGGTGTAAATGCCAGGGCACAACATGACACAAGAGCAGCTTCTGAGGCACATTTTAGGATGCCCCGTGGGATAATCTGAGGGACATCCAGCTGTTTAAAGTCTGCTTTTTGATCAGTTAATACTGATCTTTGATTAGTTAATACCTTCTCCCATTTTAACCTG